GCCCTAAACCAAAACACCGTATGCCTAGACCCAGGTGGCCCAACACGGGCAGATGTATCTGGGCGGGCGCCCAGGACGGCTAGGTGGGTCCCTAGGCAGGGGGGCCTATGGAGGTGGGCTTCTTTTTTTTTTTTTTGTAAATTTCCAAAAGGGCAAAAGGGGTAATTTTAACCCCAAAAAAGGTTTAAATAGATTATGAGGATTAATTTCAACCCCTAAAGGTAAATGAACAATTTCATAAACCCTTAATGTCTTAGTTATTCCTATTTTTGAGAATCAAAAAGTATTTTTTGTGGTTTTAAGAAGCTTCCTAAACTTTTTCACTTATTATGTAATATGGAGAGTTGGAGACTTTTACTAATACATATCATATTAAACTTTAAAATTTTGTATGGGTTGAATTTTGAAATTTTGAATGAGTTTATTCTCAACATTCGATGTGTCATATGTTTGTATAGAAAAAATATTTTATAATAATACAACATTTCAAATGCAACATATTACAAAATTGACACAAATACATATATATATATATAGAACTTGTACTATTGGGCCTAGGCGCTCGCCTGGGCGTTCGGTGCCAGGCCGGCCGCCCAGTGTTTTTTGAAACCTTGCAAATAAATTCAACATAATATCCAAATATACAAATGCTTGTCTATACAACACATTACATGATATATTCTCGCAATTCCATATCTTTCCCAATTACATGGTAATTTCATCTTCAATTTTCATCCTTATCATATCCCACAATGTTACACATGCACCATATACTTGATCAATGATAAGCTAATGTGATTTCAATTTGCATAAACAATATAAAATGGCATTGAAGCTTATACTACTTGGTTAAGTAGAATCTTATTTTTGCACATAACATGCTCAATTCTTTCAATCATAAATCATCCAATAACTGTAAATACATTAAATGAGCATGCAAACAAACACGGGGAAGCCAAGGTCGAACCCTTTGTGCTCAGGTCACAATCAGATCTTTTAGGGACTTAGCGTTGTCCCATTGTCTAAGATACGGGTGATAATAATAACTCAAAGAGTTCAATCCAATAAGAGAAGCATATGATCACTTAATGATGATCAAAACATGAGAGAGAGATTTCAAAACAACCCTTCAAAAATTGAGAGAGATGTCACACAAAAGAAGGATGATATGGTGAAACTACACTATATGGTCTAAGGGAACCACACAAACCTTTCAATCTGTAAAAAAAGGGCTAAGAAACTATCTCATATGCTCAAATGTGATGATATGAACATCTGATTAGATATATAATCTTAGAAAAAATTCCAAACATTTCGGACTTAGTAAATCAAGGTGGAACTAGTCTAGATCATAGAGTAATCCAGCTAGTCTACAAATACAATATGTATGGACTACACTATTGCTTAGAGATTCCTCAAAAACCAAGAATTCATGACAAAAGGATGAAAAAGACTACTGTAAATTGAAAATTACAGCAAGCTTTTATGATTGAAAGGAAGTAGGAAATGAAATAGAAGAAGATAAATCAATTACCTTGATGATACAATAGTATGGACTTTGATCATATGCATGAAGGACCACGCCATGGAAGGGTATAATGTATATGCTCAAAGCTCAAGGTTGAAGACAAAATGGTGGTTACTTGACTCTCAAGGAGGACTCTCTCTCTCTCTCTCTCTCTTAGCTTTGTAGTTAATACCAAAATTTAAGTAATGAAATGATTCTATAAGTTACTTGTACACTAGATCATAAGAATGGATTTGATCTTGATCCCCTTATAATCAATGGCACATGAGAGGTATTTATCCAAGCCACTCATCCATATCTCATCACCTAAGATCAATGGATGAGATATAACACCCTTCATTCCATTAAACCTAGGTTATAGCCATTTACCTTAAGGCCCTTTGTCCATATTGTATTTTCAATTATATTTAAATCGAGTTTACACTTATGCCCACGGTTTTTTAATAATTCATGAGACTCTAGAAAGGATAAGGGCATGTTCAAAAAGGTAATATGGGACATACATGTGAATAAAATATCTTCTGACTCCACCAATAGGATTTCAACAACACTAAAGCTTCACATGGGTCAAGCCCATAAGCCCCCAGACCCGCGGCTTCTTAGGCCCCCCAACCTCAAAACCACCTGCATCACCCTTTTCTTTCCCTTGGTCTAGGATATAGCAAGTTGCTTCACCTCATCACACCCCCATGATTATCATCATCATCATCATAATTGTCACGAACCCCATACCTTAGCTTTATTATGCACGCCTCTCTTTCCTCTTTTTTCTTTGTTATTATATTCATATAATTTTTATCTCCTCTCCAATCGCATCAAGAAATTTTTTACATGGGATAGCTTTCCCTTGATACTGACATAATGTTTTTCAGATCGGTTTATAATCCCATTTGTATCATTCTCACAATAATTGCACCTTATGCCATTTTTATCTAAAGGATTTAGGTTATAGCTATATTTCCAACCCAAATCACCATTTTTTTTAAAACCCGATGAAGACATCTCAAATTAACCTAAGCAATCTGAAAAACAAAATTTTTGCACTAACCTTAGCTGCTCGATCTTCGAACTTGCACATTTGATATGTTTTGCCATCTCAAAATCTTTTAAACAACCCTCTAATAGGCTTAACAAAATCTCCAAAAGTAAATCCAAACTCAAAGGGAGATGTTTGAATTGATTTCCTGAAACTTTGATAAATCCTTCGGTTTTATCAAAATCACAGATCTCAACTTTTAGAAGTTTTTTTTTTTTTTAATACTGAATTTCAACTTTTTAAATTTTTTTTCTCTAAAATAGTTCATATGGGGTCTTAGGTTGCATATGAACCTAACCCACCCCCCCTTCTACGACCTTCCCAAGAATATTTTAACCCCATGAGCGGGCCACCAAGGGTTGGGCGCTAGGCCTCTGCCTGGGGACGTCCCACCCAGTATGCCCTCCTAGACCCCCCTTACTCGCCTAAGCGGGCTAGGCAGGGGCTGCCTAGGTCTTAGGCAGACCAGTTTTTCAATCACCACGTAGAGTGTGGCAGATCATGAGCTTTGATGCCAAGTTCCCAATTCGAATTAGTAAATGTGATCAACATGCAATGACCACATCTGTTCATCCTAAATATTGAGTCCTGCTAGAGTCGTCTTTAAATGAGTAAGAACATCATACCTAGGGATGTCCCTTCTACGACCTTCCCAAAAATATTTTAACCCATGGGCGGGCCACCAAGGGTTGGGCGCTAGGTCTCTGCCTAGGGACGTCCCACCCAGGATGCCCGCCTAGACCCCCCTTGCTCGCCTTAGCAAGCTAGGTGGGGCTGCTTAGGCCCTAGGCCGACCGATTTTTAAATCCCAGCGTAGAGTGTTGCCAATCATGAGCTTTGATGTCAAGTTCCCAATTTGAATTAGTAAATGTGATCAACATGCAATGACCACATTTGTTCATCATAAATACTGAGTCATGCTAGAATCGTCTTTAATGAGTAAGAACATCATACCTATGTCTACTTTGACCATGTTCGATGGGTCTTGAGCCCTCACAGAGTGGGTTTCTGAAATCCCGACGGGTCGCCTCGCTCCTCCGGGTCTGTAGAGGATGTTTTCTGCTCAAGGATTTTCTGACTCTCTCTTTGTCATTTGGTTATCTCTTTCTCTCTTTTATGTTCACTTTTCTCACTCCATCCCTTGTACTTATTCACCCCGGATGGCATACTTCACTAGAAGACCGCTTTCCTTCTCTTGTCTATTGTAAATTTTGATTTTAGCTCTCTGCTTTATGTTTTGTTTCGTGGATTTTCTGATCCCCTATCTCTCTTGTTCTCTTAGCATCTCCTAGGCTGCCTTTTACCACATCTTGTGGTCCTTGTCCATATTTACCATTTTATTAATATAAAGTTAACCTTTCTCAAAACAAATTATGAATTGGAACTCTCCACTTGGTTACACTCGAAATCCAAAGCCACATTCTCGTTGTGACCCAACTGACTCGTCACCCATAGTGTATAATCAAAGGCTCATGATCTTGGCCTATCAAAGTCAAACCAATGCGTGATCCTGAATCCCCAAGTATAAGTGGATTTCTGGTGCATCCCCTAGAGGGTAATGTTCACACATGGTGCGGGGCTTCCTCTCTTGGCATATGTGCATACCTCTTACCAGTGGATCCATGGAATAACGGCTTCCCATGCACTGCGACTGTTTAGGCTGATGCCACGAGATGGTTCTAAGAGTCAAGGATTTAGGCCAATGCCTTCTATTGGCCCTTACCCTCCCATACAAAGCTATCTCATCATCGAGCTCATATCACATAATCACATAAACACATAAATCGTATTGCCCCAGCCATCACTCAGTCATGAGGCACAAACGTAATAGCCATCCCTGACTAAGAGGTACCCTCAACCCTCTCACTACTTCCCGTTCATATAAATCCTCCTCATGATTCACTTGGGGTTCCATGACTCTTGGTCCCAGTGCACCAAGATCTTAGAGTCATGTCGCTATTTTACTCCTATTGAAGTTAAGAGCTATCCAAAATATCAGAATTTAAGGCCTTGAAAGGACATGATTGCAACAATAAGAGGCTTCATTTCAACCAATTTCTCAGCCAAACTTTGGCGTCCTTAAAGTTAGATCTGGATCATTATTTAGAAGATGATGTGCTTCCTCGAGAAGAAGATGGGGACTTTGATACTTAGATTGGTGGAAATGCAGTGCATGGTTGGTGGAAATGCAATGCATAAATGTACCCTATACTTTCCAAAATTGCTCGAGGTATTTTGGCTATTCTGATGTCCAACTTCCCTTCAAATTCGACCTTTAGCATAGGCGATCGAGTACTCAATCAGTATCGTAGTTCCTTGTGTTTGGCTACTATGGAGGCTTTGATTTATGTGGAGGGTATTCCAAATCTGAAGTACTTACTTTATATATTTATTATGCATTTTGTTTATAGTAATTACCAATTGATATGTGTGCAGCCACCGAGAGCCCTTCACCAAGAGATAGAGTGATGATTGCCTCTGGTGTGACTATTTTGGTATAAATCTTTTTCTTTTGTAATTCTTTAGCCTTCACATTTTTTCGAAATCACTTCAGTGACTATTATTGTTTAATGATGGGATTTTTTACACTAATGTTTCTTCTCTATAGCTGAATCTATTGTGCTTCAATATGATCATGTTCCTTGGAAACAGAAATGAGATTTTCAGCCTTTTCAGTGCTTTTCTCAAATTGTTCTATGTTAATGGATATTAATTTTTTATGCTTGAGTAGAGTGGCACGACGTCATAGTGTTTTAATTTTTTGTAGCTCTTTGGTAGACCACATCGGCTTAACTATGTCACATACTTGCATTAAAGAAATAAAGAACCTAGCTAAGGTAGAACATAAACTGCAAACTCCTTTTTATCTTCAAACAGAATATAAAAAATTGCATTGTAGCTAATTGGTTCTGATCTTCACAAAAACTCCTTTTTAAAGAAATAAAGAAGCTAGCTACAATGCTCTTGTGGGAAGAATAAATTGTCAACAACAGGTCAAAGAAGAGCTTGAGAGACATGTGAGATAAGAACTAATTATGCTGTACAGTCTGTATCACTGAGTCAGGTAACTAGTTTTCTCTTTGGTGTTGTTAGTGATTTTTTGATACATTGAAAAATTTGTCTTTATCTTGGACTAGTGATGGAGAAGTTTGAACAAAAGAAAACTTATCCAATTAGTGGACAGTTAGTATCTAATATTATTCTTTATTGTTTTCAACGCTTCCTTGGGCATGCATTTCTCTACTTTAAGCTTTCAAAAGTTCAAGTAATAAGCACAAGAAGGTCAAAAAGTTGTAAATCCTTCAATAAGTGTAGCTAGTTTATTTAATTTTTGACAGCAAACTATTGGTGCATTCAAATATATTTGCATTCAATATATTTACAGTATATATAAAAAAAAAAATATCATTTATGCTCCTTATATCAGCTGGTTACAACATCAAAGGTAATGACTGAACACCTTTTTGATATCTGACTTTGTGAGTACCATGCGTTCTGCTTCAACCCAGTGCTTAAGTATGGATCATGCTGTGTTGTTCTGTTTTGTTGCATGAAATTTCCCGTGATATACTGTAGATTCATGAACTGCTGTAATCTAATCACAGAGTTCATTACAAGTTGGTAACATGTACAAAGGTCATCATGCTGCCTCTCGATATATGTATGTGATATATATTCTACTGTTTCATTGAGTACTATCATGTATACCTATCTTGTATTCTCCTTTTGCATGTCCCTTAGGAAGGGCTTTAGTGGTAGACATATTATTCTGGGTGAGGGAGTTCAAGGATTCAATTCCTTGATGCTTGTCCCAGAGATCCAAACCCTTTAATGCTTTTATTTTCTGTTTTGTTTAAATAACCAACACGGTATACCTATAAAAAACACTTAGCCAAAGCTATGATATACTTCTTTATATTCATGATAATACTTTTGTCGGTAGCTATGTCCTAGCTATTGTTGACTTTTTAATAACCTTAGTTATAATTGACTTTTTCAGATGCCATCCTTTTCTGGATTTATTTGTTATTCTTTCTCTTATTTTGCTGTTTGTTGACATGCTCTTTGTGTTTTTTAGGTTTTTTTGTTACTGCAGGTGCTTATTTTATGAGACGTTGGTCATACTTCTCTATTAATTAATCCATTAGACTCTACTGGAAGGTTAGGTTTTTCCTGGGAATGAGCATTTGTTGCTTTCTTGACTCCTACCAGGCAAATGAAACACTTTTGTTTAAGAAGTTTCTCCTAATCTCGATGGCCTTTAAGACTGTGTATCCAAAAAATTATTATAATTTACTTGCTTAAAAAGATCATTTCTTAGGTTTCATGTGTAGAAAGAACAAATTACTATGGGACTGCTATATGTTTTTCATTGGCTTTTATGCATCAGAGAAAAATTATTGCCTTTTATCGTGACCAAAGTTCTATTTTATTATGGTAATATTTGGAATTTCAGTGCATCAAACATGTAAAGAGCATTTGTGAACTGAATTTCATAATTACATGTGCCATGTAAAATATACAGTTGATGCCTGTGCTCATAATGCTTTATGATATGCTTCTTATACTAAGTTAGGATTCATCTTTCAATGGTAGCATTCATGAGCTGGTAAGATTATTTTGCCGGGAACTCCTTGGAGACTGTAGATGAAATACTTATTGTATTTTATATCACTTTGCAGATAGTAACTAGTGTTCCATTGTACAAGAATGTCTTCTACGTCACACATCCCCTGGTTCTCTGATGGTCATAATACATATGAGGAATGTATTAAATCAGTAAGACAAGTATCTCTATTGCAGGTGCTAGATTTCTTTAGCATCATACATACATTGGTTCTCTAATTGTCATAATACTTGCAAGGAATGGACTAAATCAGTAAGTCAGTATGCCTATTGCAGGTACTAGATCTCTTTTACAGTAGCATGGATGCATAAAATATGGACGGTGAGTGGTCAATGGAGAAAGTCCTTTAAATCATTATTATTATGGACGGTGAGTGGTCAATGGAGAAAGTCCTTTAAGTCATTATTATTAATTGCCGATTGTGGCGTGGTGATGGAATGAAGGTAGAGTTCTACAGTAATCTAAAAAGAGTTAGATTATGTTGGGTTCCTTTTTTTTTCTCTTTTTGAAGAAATCCTCCAGTATATATAGTTCTAAGATGATCCCCCAATTGATTGATCTTTTAATTGTTATGGGCTTTTTGTCCTTTTCGTTTCTGCTTTTCTCTATTCGGGAATATTTCAAGTTGGCCCATCGTCTGTTTGGGTAGCTCTATTATTTTTTATTGCTTTCTCTCTTTGCAGCATACAGTTGCGGCCTTCTCTTAAAGATCAGATTAAGCTTAAGACTACACAAAAGGATTATGAAGTAGAGGCTTAGTGTTACTATTTTCTCAGCTCCAAGCCCTTTTTGAAGGCTTGGTAGGGGCACACCAAGATCTTCAGGTGGTTCTGTATAAACAGCACCCTTCTGCCTTAACAGTTGCAAATACTTTGGGTTATAGTTGAAACAACCATTGATTTTACATAAGCGTATGATGCAGAACTTCTTTACTTCTTGTTTTTTGTGCCATCGCTCTGGGTTCTATTCATGTTCTCGTCAGTCTATGTTGCTTTCTTAATTGGGTGTTTGCATGGATTTTGTTCATGTCGATGAGAGACGGTTTCAATTTGTGTTTTTTCTTGTTATGTTGTACATTGTAGAGTGTGTTTTCGTTTGTGTTTTTTTGTTATTAATATTGTACGTTGAAGAGAGAGAGAGAGAGAGAGAGATCATTTGTGTTTTTATGGCATTGCTCATGTCGATTAGAGAGTTTACATTTGTGTTTTTTCTTGTTTATAGTCCAGTAGAAAGAGAGTGGGTGTGTTTTTTTGTTTATTTTATTATTATTAATCTACATTGGAGAGACAGAGAAAGAGAGATCTCCTTTGTATTTTTTATTGTCGTACATTGTATTTTGTCAAGAGATATAGAGAGATCTTCATAAAAAAGAAACGAAAGGAAAAAGGCCAAATGGACCAGGCTGCCACGCTAGGTCGGAAAAGTATATTTTTGGGCCCAGCTGTACCGGCCTACTATGGGATTTGGTCGGGACTTGTTTGGGCCAGGCTTGAGTCGGACCTTTGGCAGCCCTATACAGAGCCGCAAGGCTCAATTTCTATGGCATTAACAACATCGCCAAGTACGAGGCCCTAATAACTGGACTCAAGAATGACATTGAACTTTGAATCGAATATTGCAGCTCATTGGTGACCCTCTTCGAGTAATAAATAAGCCAAGCTCAAGGAACATGGAAAGTAAGAGAATAAATATTGATACTTTAGCAAGAAAAAGTGGAGAGATTGGGAAAATACTTAAGTAATAAATAAGACAAGCTCAAGGAACGTGGACAGTTAAGAGAGTAAAAAATGATGCCTTATCAAGAAAAAGTCGAGACGTGGCAAAATACTTGAAAGTCGTAACTTTCCAGCTAGGTTAAACAATAGATTTACCGACACCTTAGCTACTTTGGCTTTGATGGCCAATATTATGTCAGGAATAAGCGTAAAGCCACTCTGCATTAGGCACAAGTTTGAACCCTATAATATGGATTCAGGATTTATGATGAGATATAGTTAAATTTTAGGCTGGTTGGCTATCTAACGCAATTATTCAGGGTTAAGAGAAAGCTTAAGGTCTTCACTTTCATTAGATCAACTCCCAATGCAAATATACAGTTAAAAAATCATAATTAATATGAATTCTTACTAGAACTCGAAAAATGATTATCATAATTTATGCTTTCATTGTTAGCCATACATCAAATTTCACCAACCAATCAAATGCATCTCCAAAAATATCATCCGACATCTTTATTAGGGAGGTGAATATCATCCAACATCTTTCTTAGGCAGGTGTAAGAATCGAAATATTGTAATTTGATTACATAAAAAGCAGATCGGTGACCCCGATCGGGTACCTCAAAAATCGATCCGGACCAGGAATCGGGTGAATCGGTCAGATTAAAGCTTCAAAAAAATTTGAAAAAATTATTAAAATTCATTATAAATATTGTTTTTTAGGAATTCAATAAAAAATGATGGTACTCCATTAAGAATTTTTTTTTCTTTGCATGAATATGCGAATATTGATATGTTCTTTCCCTGCATGAACTACTATTTACCATTTAATTTACGTCACACAAAAGGATAAACAAAAAATCATCATGGAATAAGTATATCAACATATATGGACGACAATAAAGCATACAATTAGTAACATATGATTTAAAAATAAAATGATAGATGACGATGTTTTTCTTCTTGGTCACGCTGGTGCCATTGATTGAATTCCTTTGACAATTCATTGATTCGATCTAAAAACGAATCATCGATATTAGCAGGCATCTAACTATATCCAAATCCTCGAGTGTTAGTGTTCTGTTGTGTTCCCAATCCAAAATCCCCGAAGCTTGTCCATCCTTCATGCTCACCTACACTGTCGTGTTCATCCTTACCTTGTTGCTGTTGGGACTCGATATGTAAATAATATGGCTGGGATAGGGTGGCCTCGGAATCATCATCTCTCACATTTTTCCTTAGACCCCCTTCATTAAAAATATAAAAATATAATACAGTTTTGCATTAGAATATAGAAATATAATAACATGTATGTTTTTTGCATAAATATTTTATCAACATGCAATTTTTTCAACAAAAAATTTAATAATAAAAATTAAAAATATGGTTTAATACCTCATGATAATCAAAAACTGGTCACTATTTTCACATCTTTTCGAAAAATCACTATTTTTAAAAAAAAATCGATCATGTACTTAAAAAAAAAAAACAAATAAAAACAATTCTTCACAAAGCCACCTAACATCAGTCATTCCAACTCAAAAATGCATTAACAACAAATTTAAAAAGTACAATTTTGCATTAAAAATATAATAACATGCATTTTTTTGCATAAATAATCTATCAAAATACAATTTTTTCAACATAAACTTTAACAATAAAAATTTAAAATATGGTTTAATACCTCATGATAATCAAAACCTTGTCATGATTTTCACATATTTTCAGAAAATCATCATTTTTCAAAAAATTCGATCATGGATAAAAAAAAAAAGTACAGCAAATTTTCAAAAAATTCGATCATGGATTACAAAAAAAAATTCGATCATGGATTACAAATAAAAAACTACAAATTTTCAAAAAATTCGATCATGGATTACAAAAAAAAAAAAAACAAATTTTAAAAAATTAGATCATGAATTACAAAAACAAAAAAAAACAATTCGATCATGGATTACAAAAAATTTGATCATGGATTACAAAAATTTGATCATGGATTACAAAAAAAAAAAAGAAAAAAAAAAAGAAAAAAAAAGAAAAAAAAAGAAAAAGAGATTCTGTCCTTCACAGAGCTACCTTGCGCCAGCCATTTTAACTCAAAAATCCACCTCGAAGCAAATAAATTACATCCAATTGAGTAAAATTTTTGATAAACAACAATATAAGGAATCAAAACCCTAAATTATGAACATATTATCATCAATAAATCAAATCAAATCGACTAAATTGAGCAGAAAAACAAAAAAACGCAGTTCTTCACAGACAACAGTCATTGAATCTAAAAAATGAAGCTCAAATTGAATAAATCAGATCAAATTGAATACATTTGATTATAAACACGACTAACGATTAAAAACCCTAGAAATCTAACACATTATTTGTAATATATCATTAACAAAAAATCGAAAGGCGGAAAAAAAAAAAAAACAGCAAAATTTTTTTTTCACGGACATCACTGTGTTCATCTAAAAAATTAGGCTATAATTGAGCAAATTAAATAAATTTGAGTATGTTAAATGATAAAAGACACAATAAAGATTAAAAACCCTACAAATGTAACTCACTATTTTCAAAATATGCAGTGAAATTGATCATATGGCGGAAAAAAAAATAAAAAATCCAAAGTTCTTACATGGTTTCGTGAACTCGAGTCTTTAATCTCCAAATTACTCTGTTTTTCTTAACGATTATCACATATTCGTAACAGAATTTTTTGATGAACAACTTTACGATCAAAATGGCTACAAATTTTCATAGATTCATGCCCTATTTGGCATGAAACACAAGGAAAGGCGGAAACCCTAAAAACGTAACTTTCATGATCCAAAAACACGAAATTTCTCCACCATTTAATCCATGAAAAGGCTGAAAAAAGTTGCATAAAGCCTGCATATTCGATCACATGGCCAAAAAAACAAGAAAAATGATAAAAAAATGACAAATTTTGAAGAATCTTGTGAAGAACACTGTGCAGCCCGTGTTCTTCACGGGACTCGCCGATTCCGTACAGTGAATCGGCGAGTCACTGTACAGAATCACCCGGTTCTCTCTGGAACAGGGCGATTCCGTGTAATTTGCCCGAATCGACACGTCCAATACCGATTCTCGAGTCGAACCGGGCGAGTCCGGTTCGACTCGGCATTTTTTAAATCACTGGATTACACTATTAATAACGCTAAAATTTCACCAACCAATCAAATGCATCTCCAAAAATATCATCCAACATCTTTCTTAGGCAGGGGAATATCATCCAATATCTTTCTTTGGCAAGTGTAAGAATCGAAATTTTGCAATTTGATTACACTATGAATACTGCTAGTTACTAAATGAAAGATTTCCAGTAGGTTGCTACCATCACAAACCTATGTAGACTGCAAACTAGAATGCTTGTACGCTGCATATTGTGGTATACGATTATTTCAGGTTATTTTGATTCGTAAACGACTTGAATAATGCACATCAAAAGTCTCTTCAGAGACATTTGATAAAATTGGAACGATACAGAGAAGATTAGCATGTCCCCTGTGTGAGGATAGCATGCACAAATTGACAAATGGTCTAAATTTTTAAGGAATCGGGCTTGAGTCAAAACTGTAGAAATTGGGTTTTCATGGTACAATGTCTCAAGTTCCAATCCTATGTAAATTTGTTGGAAAATAATAATAATAATGCACATCAAATGGCTTCAATTGGACACCACCCCTTAGGTAGGTCCCGTTGTTATGGTAGCTCATTCCCCATCTCCAGGAGCTTTCTCCTTAACCGGCCTGCCTCTTGGGATTGTGCTCTTTCTCTCCTCATAAGTGGTGAACCCGACGGACGGGGAGACCAAGCCTATCAAAGATAGGGACCAAGTGTATAAGAAATCTTTTGATGGGGTCTTCTTGAGATGTATATAATCATCTGGAAATTGACATAATACTATAAGAATTACACAATGAGGGAGAACACCTAGCCTACAAGATCAAGCATCAAGGGTACTATTGGATGTCTTAAGACCCTTAATTTTAGACCAACATTATCCACTGAGAATAAAATGCTCCTGGCATTGTTTAGTTCCTGGCCCATAGCACAGTGTTGGAAAAATTGAACTGGCCTAAAAAATTGGCCAAGGGTTGGGCCCAACTAACCGATAAACCAGCGGTTCAATCGGCCTAACTGGGCAAGTCGCGACCGGTCCAAAAAGTGTTAAAAAAATAAAAAATACAAAAACAATCAGAAAATATATATGAAAAGTATATTTCAAGCATGATTAAACAAAACACATCCAAATGAAGTTAAAAAGTAGTGAAATCTCGATTTGTACAAGGGGTATTTTCAAAAATTTCCAAAAAAGATGGGAAAATGTAACAATAAGTATTCATTACCAAAACATTTTCCAATCTTTGCTAAAATAATAAAACATGCAAAAATACATTACAAATAAATCCTTTATTTTTTGGGATTATATATATATATATATATATATATTTGAGTTTCTTTTAAAATAAACAACCGGAGCACCAAAACCGGATCGGCCAGTGTCTGTTTCCGGTTTGACCGGTCGAGTTTGCGAATATTGTCTTAGCATTGTAGAAAGTGCCCATGAGTGCATGAATAGTCTTCACTGCTTGGATAGGGCCTCGCAGAAGATTAGCACATAATCGGGTATATATCAGGTGAGTAAGTCCATAGTTACAACCCAAGGGGATTGCCTTAGGGACGAGCTATTGAATACTGCTATATCGAATTGGCGGCTTAAGAAATCCATGACCAGCTCGAAGAGATATAGGGATAGAGGGTCACCCTATCGAGGACCCCTCTTACCCTTGAAATAACCTTTAGGTGTGCCTTTGTATAAGATAGAGAAGCAAGGGGTAGTGATACAATGTGAAACCAATTTATGTAAATTAAAGGGAATCACAATGCAACAAGCCTTTTAATATCCAAGAGACCCATTTGGAAGCACTACTTAAGTCAAGCTGTAAGCACATTTTCGGTCAGGTTGTTGTACTATGGAACATAGAATGAGTCATTTAGCAATGAGTAGCTCATCCGTGATGAGTCTCCCTTTAAGGAAAGAAAATTGGCACGGGTGGATTAAGTCAGTTAAGACCCTTCTCAACCTGTTTCCAACAACTTTGCTTCTATTTTACAAAACATATTACATGGCCCATTGGGACTGAAATCCTTCACGTGGCTTAGAGATTTTGTTTTTAGGATCAAACATATGAAAGTAGAATTAGCGTCCTTAAGGAATTTTACCCTCTTAAAGAAATCATTGAACGCTAAGAAAAGGTACTTGCAAAATGACATCCTAGTTGAACTTGTAAAATTTCATGCCAAAAGCATCACGATCAGAGGGTCACTTTTCACTTCCCAAACTCTTTTTTTTTTATTCCTCAAGCATGACATCTTTCGAGAGTTCCTCCTTTTGTAGATTTGTTACAGTGATCTCCAAGAGATTGTCATGTGCCAATTGATCATAATCTCTCAAAGTCATAGTCTTATGGCACTAAGAGCTTCTTAAAGGAAATGATATGCTTCTCTAGGATATTAGCATCAGTTATTTTGCAAACCATGAAATCTTTTATGTACATGATCCTATCATTTCTCTACCCTATGATTGTGGATGGATGAAAAAACATAGTGTTAGCATCCCCATCCTTCAACCAGGTTACCCTTGATTTTTTCCTCCCTTGTAGTAGAAGTTGTTACAAGTCTAAAGTGCAAGCCCTCTCTTCTCGCAAAAGTAAATCATTCTAAAGGTCCAACTGGATTAGATCATGCAGTTTTGAAAGTTTCACTCATGTACTTTTGATTTTTTTCATCGAGATGCCTGAAAGTTGAGAAAGCCTCGTGTACTTTTGATATTTTCACCGAGATGCCTGAAAGTTTATTCGTTCCACCTATTACGAAGTCTATTCGACTTTGCGACAAATCTATACATGGTGTTACACCAATCCTTCCTATCCATGTGTCTCTAAAGTTTGGAAACGTATGCCATCCCACAAATATCTGAAGAGTTTGAGACCTGAAGGAGGTAAAAATGAAAGTTAACCCATCAATGGATAGTGCTCAGAAGTACTTCAAGGGAGAATTTCCACCATTGATACCGGGAATGATTTCACCACTGCGGGTCTGCTTGCGCATGGTCTACGCGTTCCTGGATGTGTCGATTATCCCTTCTACAATTTGACCATGAGAAACAACCCTTTGATGATCCCAAATCAATTAACCCGTACTCGACTAAGGTTTTTGCCTACACATATAGCTCATTTCTACCTCCGAACTTGTCAGAACCATCCACTAGTGTATTAAAGTCAGCCATGCCCCCTAATTTTATTTTTGATGTTCCATAAAAGTGCTCTTTTCATAACTATATTGTAATTGTACATCCCCGAAACAGTTATGACACCATTAATGCTAAGTTGAATAACCTCCACAATAATAATTTGTTCAAGAATTTCAATGGGCCTAACAAAGTAAATGTTAGGATTTCATGGCACTAAAACTCTTGATTTCCTTCACATTCATCAGAAATTAAAGAAGCATCAAAGCCAACAAGAACATTAGTCCCACATTGTTGTCCAAGGAAATATTTTTGATATTTGACAATCTACTAGGGCCACGAATGGCCCTTACAATCCAAGAAATAATTGACATCAAATTAAACATTAAATAAAAGAGATTTGGGTTTTTTCACCCATACTTGGCTTAGATTGGCTGGCCTTGGGGATACAAGCCTTTGTTTTTAGTGATTGTTTACAAAGAGATCATTTATCTTTTGTACATGGAGGTCACAATCATTCTAGGCTCTTAAATTTCAAAATGGGTGGTTGTAAAAGTGCCAAACACAGTTTCAAAAAAAAATTCTCGAACTTTGTGACTCACACCAAGCCATCTAATTTGACACCTAATGAGTATGAATGATTGTTACCTGCATGTACGAAAGATAAATGGTCTCTTTGTAGACAATACCTTGTTTTTAATAGTCTTTGAAGTATTAGTGGACTTGTTGTTTTCACCCTCAAGTGACTAAGAGAGCGTAGGCATATTGTCCTCCATAGCTAGTTGTTGTTTAGTACTATTCACCCCTCCAATGTCCTCCAAGGTGCCTCCTTATGAAGTTGCTTAGCGACCTCCATCCTCTCTTCATCAATCTCTCACCATGCACAATATGATGAAGGTCTGCAAAAACTTGTGTGGCCACTATATCCTTCAGCCATTGACAGAACCCCTTATTTCCTCACAAGAAGGCATGTAACAATGCCCTTGTTGATCCTGTGTTACCAAAATCTTTGGCACACTTTCTATATCATTCGACATATATTCTTCAAGATTTTGGAAAGGGTCATAGGATTATTAACGTAGGCATCACCTACCAAAGGTTTTTGGAAAACATTGATTTTGGCCTTTCAAGAATCGAACTACATTTGAAATAGTGAAAAAAATATAGTTTGACCCTTAAGGGAAGAAAAAGCTAGGATATAGTTTGAGCGTTCAACTTAGTCCACTTTTCATTTGTGAAATCAAAGTGCAAAATGACTCCTTTTTCTTTTTCTGTTGAAATTTAGTGAAGAAATTGGTACATCTGCAGGAGTACCAGTATAGGCTCCTTCCATATGTATGGGGAGGGACTTCATCTTTTTCAGATTTCTATTTTTTTTTTAGGGAAACTTTTGTATAGAACCCTAATTCCTCATATTATTTCATGGTAGACCCTCATTCCATTTTTCTTTCAAGCGTTATAAAGAAACATCTAAAGATTTCACCATACCCCCTCATCTCTTATCTCAATCTTTTATTGACTTTTGATCATAAAGATTAGTCCCAAAAAATCTTGTTATACCATTTTAACTAAAAAACTTTTTTAATGGGTGGGAAGGGCAAAAGAGGGTTAAAATTTTTTTTGAGTTGAAATGATATAAAAAGATTATTTGGAGCTAATTTTTATGGTCAAAAGTCAATAAAAGAGGGAGATGCGAGATGAGGGGGTGCGGTGAAATTTTTAGAGGTTTCTTGATGCCGCTTGAAAGAAAAATAGAAGGAGGGTCCACCATGAAATTATATGAAGAATTAAAGTTCTATACGAAAATTTCTCCTTTTTTTTTTCCTTTTCTCAAATCTAATTTTGTTCGAGATATCACCATCTTTAGAATGAAAAAGTGTTTGTATACAAATTCTTACATTTGTATCCTCCGAGGCAAAACATCCATCTTAAAGATGGATGCATATGGTAAAACTCTCAAAGAAAAGTTAAAACTAATGGTCTAAATATTTTTTTATAAAATTATTATTTTTCATGTTAAATATTTTATATTTCTTAAAAATTAAATCTAAAATTTATCTCAAAAATGAATTTTTACAAGGGGACTCATTTCTATTCATGAGTCCCACGACTCATAGAAATGTCCCTTATGTTAGAGAGAGAGTGTTTTGAATGAAGTTACCAAGAGAGAGAGAGGAATAAAATTCTTCCGTAGAGACAGAGTTTAACGGCTATTTTCCAACCCCAAGGATAAAGGAAGCCTAAATGGTTTTCCACCGTTGATATAGTTTTAGCTTATTCCACCCTACCGTTGGATGAAACAATTCCAACTGTCTAAGAGATGACAGTTGAGAGGGTAACCTTAATATTTGTCGTACCAGGACGAAGACTTTCGAACCAAAGTTAGCGAGTAGAGAGAGAAAGTGAGAAGAAGAGAGAGAAAGAAGAGAGAAGAGGCAGAAGGATAGAGAGATGTCACGAAGATGCAGAGAGAAGGTTAGAGATAGAGAGGAAGATAAGCTTGGTTTTTTAGTGCTCTCTTCTTAGTTTGCTGATGCTCTTCTTGTGGTGGAACCCTAATTTTTAGAGCCCCACTTGAGAATTCGCCTCCATTGTTTCTTTTCTTCTGGTATTTTGAGTCTTGGAGCTGTTGTTTTTGGGCAAAATCAGCACAGAGGAGAAGGCAGCAACTAGGCACGCATTGCCCCAAAGTAGAGGTAATAAACAGTTTTAGGGTTTTATAGTTTATATTGTATTACATTATTTTATTTATGGTGAATAGTTCTCTGAAATTTTGGCTGACTGCTTGTTTAGACTCTAGTTTGGGTTTTTCAGCGGAAAGGAATTGGTTATATTCTTTTGATTTATTTCATTTATTTCATCCCCATAGTTTTTGAATGAGAGGATGATATATGGATTCTTTTCATCTGCAACTAATGCTGTGATTTTTTCACAAAATTGATTCAGAATCAGTTTCTTGTTTCATAGTTTCCTATTTCTGATAAAAATCTGTGAACACCTAGTGTTGTTTTCTTCTCCTGAAACTAGATTTTATATATTTTTCAGGAACATTTCCATAATCAGTTTTAAGTTTTCATTCACTCAGTTGTTTTATTTTGTGGTCTCACGGTTTCTTCCCCCATGGCCGTTTGTATTCTTTTTATTCTTTTCATGTCTATAGCCCTCATAACAGAGGCATGGCTGTTTGGGTTAATCTTTTGTTTTGTAGGTAAGGTTTACTTTGTTCCTCTGCAACTTGTTCTAACCTGAAATGGGTTTGTATGAATTTCATATTTTTGAGCTCACAATCGATCAAACCATGGTGCTTAGGTTCACTTTTTCTTTCTCTGGTAGTATTCTTGAGAAACACTTCCAAATTTAGTTTTAGGTTTTCACTGGTCCAGTGGTTCTATTTTGTGGTCTCAGGGTTTCTTTCATCGCCATTTGTTCTTTGTTTCGGCGATATTTTTACAGAATCTATGCATGATTTTCATGTAGGAAGCTGATGTTTGTGTTATTTTTATTCTTTTTATGTAAGGGTTACTTTCTTTCTCTGCAACTTGTTCTAACCTGGAATGGATTTAATGGTGTTCATATTTTTGAGCTCTCAATCAAGCAAACTATTTTTCTTAGGTTCACTTTTTCTTTTTCTTGTTGTGTTCTCGAGGAACACTTCCATATCCAATTTTTGGGTTTTCTTATCCAATTTTTGTTGTCTATATCTAACCATTTGCTTAGGGTTTTCAGGGCTTCAATGGTTCTTTGAAATGGTACTTCCTCACTTTTTGAGTTTGATTGTTTTAGTAATGTGGGCTTCCTTCTTCTAATCTCTCTCTCTCTCTTTCTCTCTAGTTTTCAGGTTGAGCAATTGATTCTTGTAAGCAGAAGGCAGCAACCATTGATGGCAACAATAACCGGAAAGCATTGGGAGATATAGGAAATCTAGAAGCAAACAAGGCAACATACTCAAGATTGAAGACCTAAATTCTGCTTTCCCTATCTCTCTCTCACAAAGCTTTTTCAACACACCAATTCCAAGTTTTTACTCGAATTCTTTTATAACAGGGAACCTCTCCCTCAATCTCCCAGCCAAGTTACAAGGTCAGTTAGGAACCCGTTCATATTTGTTTCTTGTAGAATCACCCCTCTTCCCCCTCCCCTTAAAAATTGAAGATCTCTCTCTCTCTCTCTCTCACTCTCAAATTGCATTTCTCTTTTGGTTTTCAGAAGCTTCGGAGTGGAACTTCTGGCCAATGCACATGCTGTTGTTACAACCAACAAGGTAAATAAGCAAACCCTTCACCACCCTCATTTCTAATTATTTTCCTCTCAATTCGTATCATTATCTTCCTTGCTTTTGTCAAAAGAATGATTTTGGCCATATACGATTTTCCAAACTCTGATAAAAATCAGGCATTAAAGAATGAGATTTTTTTTATAATCGCTTATTCTATTGGACCCAACATTCTCTTGGCCTTCCTGGCCAGGAAAGTAAGACATTTTGTGCGACATATCATTTTGTGCGACATATTTGTCCTCCTCTTTATTTGTCCACAAGAATCACTGAGCCGTTGAATGTGGCCCTGATTAAATTCCAAGTTTTCCTTCTCTTGTGGAAACAAATCAACAAATAAATCTACGTATTCTTTTTGATGTCCATATGAATCCTACTTAGTGAAACTCTCTTTCTAACTTGCAGTTAAGATTTCGCCATGAGACCAAGGAAACCCTCCCAGTTTCTTCTTTCTCTCTTCTTGACAAAGAGTTCTTCCCCTTAAAAACATATTTATCAATATCTTCAAAGAATAAAATAGATTTATGCCCAATAGACATAATGAGCTTTTTTAGCATGTAATTGTTTTTCACCATCTCCAACTCTCAATACATCGTATTTAAGAAAATTTGCAATACATATGTTGTCTTACTAGTTCGGGGTGGCCCATGTTTGAGATAGCTTCTCATCCATATCATCCCATATTGAGTGCAACCACTTTTATTTTGATATAAACGCCTTAAGTTCGTGAACTAATCGATTCCTTTTATCCAATTTCATGGCAATGTTTACCATACTACATGGATGGAGGAATCTATTTGCAAAAAACATAGTGAAGTCTTACCCTCAAGAACCTCATTGATGTAAAAAATATCATGGGCCATGAATTCTCAGCTAAAAAAACTCTTGATTTCTATTTGGGCATAAATCTATTTGGTGCTTTGATGACATTGATGGATATGTTTTTAAGAAAGGAAGGGAAAGAAGTCTTGTCAAAAAGAGGGAAAGAAGAAGAATATGATACTAGGGCTTTGGGTATTCTACGTCCATTCTTACGTGAACCAATACCATTCCTTCATGAACCAATTCTTATTATAGGTTTTTTCATATTTTGTTATCTCATAAACATGAGGCAAAGGACATATTGATATATCCATTTCATGTAAAAAATAGATCATTTATTTGTTGGGCACCCTGTGAAGTCCTCTTTTAGAAATAAAAAAATTACCCCTGTCTCTGTTTATGCCTCAGATTGGAACAAATTACTATAATTCATCCTCGCCTACAAAGCAGTCGACATTTTTCACAAATCTTATGAACAATGTGAAGTCCTCTTTTAGAAATAAAAAATTATCCCTGTCTCTGTTTATGTCTCAGATTGGAACAAAATTACTATAATTCATCCTTGCCTACGAAGCAGTCGACATTTTTCACAAATCTTACAAACCAAGGCCTGTCAGCCTCTCAGGGTTAATCAATGCACTGAAAGCGTTTCCTTTGGTCTCATGACGAAAGGGTTATAATCTTCACTGCGAGTTCAAAAGAGAGAGTTGATCCTGGTTTACTAGAATTGATATGGACATCCCCTCTCTCTTGTAAACAAGACATAGACTTATTAGTTGAATTTTTCCACAAGAGAAGGAAAATTTGGAATTTAACTGGGGGTCACATTCAAGGAATATAGATAAGTTGAAAAATATTGTCCACAATTTCGGGGACCCCAATGGTCAACTGGCTCAAGGACTTGTAAGCAACAATGAGAACATAGAGCAAGCCTTGAGTGAATGCATTGACACGATTGTGAGAGTAGGAAGTTAACCTTTTATGGTTTTCATTGTTTTAGTTCTCTTTAAGTTTACCTCATTGTTTTAGTTCTCTTTAAGTTTACCTATCTTTTGAGTCTTGTTTGGCATTCAGAGAAGGAAAAAAAGTATGCGTGTTTGGTTTTTATGGGATGGAGAATGAGTATATCCCTTGTTTTCAACTAAGGGGTAAAAATATTGTAGATGTGAAGTATCTCTAAGCTATGGAATTCATAGTTTATAAAAACTTTATTCTCGCCCTCAACTGGATTGAGAGAGCGTAAGCATATTGTCCTCTGCAACTAGTTGCCTTCTAGACTTGTAGCACCGTTAAGTTTGCATAGTGACATAAAGCGACTCCGGATTTGTAACATCGTTAAGTCTGCACAGTGACATAAAGCAAGACTGACATGACATAAGGCTAAAGTAAATAGTACAAGCACTCGCAAGTGCTCACAGGACATAAAGTAAAAGTAACTAGTTCAAGCACTCACAAGCACTCTCATGACTTAAAAGTAGAAGCACTGCTGTCACTTAAAGTAAAGATTCCATCAGATTGGTGGGTAGGCAGCTGGCATGCTGTTCAGTCCGTATCAACGTCGTCTCCTGATTTTGGGTTGTCATCAGTGTCTTCTTTCTAATCCACGTATGGTGGTGTTACTAGTGAGTATGGAAATCTTGGAGCATCTGGCTGATTCGTTTCATACTGGAACAAGAGATCCATGAGCCTGTCTGAAAGTAGTGGAGGTAGCTGGGGAATGTTCTCCATAGAGGATGGAATGGGGAATGGATGGATCCACCTTGTTGAGGTGACACATGGTGATCTTAAAATAGGACCATTTAGTGAAATGTGCTTGCCTGGTTCTCAGAAGGTTGAAAGGGTACCATGCCTGTATTTCTGCTGAGCAATAAAGTTGTTTGAAGGAGACATGGGAGGTTCAATTTTGTGATAAGGGATAAAACCTAGTGGTATGTGAAATGTGATTAACACATAAGAGTGATAATGGACTTGTAATATTCTAACCATTTTTTTGGAGGATGGAACCAAGATAGCATTTTGGCAAGGTAGGTGGTCTAGGGGAGTATGTAATTGAAACGTTTTTTGGAATTCAGATAGGTAGGCGGGCAGCATGTAATTGAAATGCAATTATGTATTTAAAAAAGATACCAGAAGAAGCATAGTGCTTCTTTTGGGAACTCATCAACCTGTGAATTTGGATTAGGGCGTGGGATTACTTCTCTGACTTTTTGGGGTAGGTCCCTTGGGCCTTCTGGGTAAATGGTAAAAATCATTGGGATAACAAGTGGTTTGGGAGATAACTGAAAACATGACCCTGGTCTTCTTGATAACAAATCAGAAGCACATTATCCTTTCCCTTGATGTTTTACTTCTAAATTTCATTGGGAGAACCAATTAGCCCCACCAGAGTAGTTGAGCATTTGGCCTTCTGTTTAAGCTTAATCATCTTGGGGAAAGAAGACATGTCCATCTCTATGAGAAAACTGTGGCCAATTAAATGGAACTGGAACTTCTCGATGCGTCTTTTGACCGCCAATATTTCTTTGAATGTGGAGTGATAGTGTTTCTCTGTTGGCTTGAAGGTACTGCTCTTGTATTCACAAATCTTTCTATTTCCTTGCTCTTCAAAGAGTATGGCTGACCAGTAAGCATCACTGGCGAATATGGAGTGGGGGGAGTGTTGGGGCTATCGTCTTCAGATCTTGAACTGCTTTTGTTTGGGCTGATGTTCTTGAAAGGTGCCTCGCTTTCTTCAGCATTCGGAATAGGTTGTTTGGGCTGATGTCCTTGAAAAGGTGCCTCGCTTTCTTCAGCATTCGGAATAGGTGAGATGTGTATACTGACTTTGGGAACAAAATCAGCCATATAGTTTACTATTCCGAGGAATTGTTGAATCTGCTTCTTGGATATGAGAACATCTGGGAATGATTGTAGGGATGCTGAGATATGAGGTTGTGACTGTTACATCCCATCTAAGATCTTCATGGCAAGGAAATCTATTGATGTCTGGCCAATCTGCATTTTTTTTTCAGAGAGAATAATTTCACAATCTTGGACTCTGGAATGAGATTTTTTAGAAAATGGCCATGTGAATCGGCATCTTTTGAGAATAAAAGGATATCATCAATGTAAATCAAGCATTTGGAAGAATTTCTTGGAAAATCTGGACCATTGTTTTTGGAAACTGAGAATGTGCATTTTTTAGTTCAAATGGCATAATTGTCCACTGATAGTGGTGGTTGGGAATGAAAAAAGCGGTCTTGGGTCTTTCAGAGGGCTGGATGCCAAGTTTCCAAAAACCAGCTTTAAGATCAAATTTGGAAAACATTTTGGCATTTGAAAGATTTTGAAAAAAGGGGAGCTTTATTTGGTAGAGGAAATTTGTCATCTGATAAGAACTGGTTCAAAGGTTGGTATTGAATTACCAATCTTAATTTTCCTCTGTATTGTTCTGCTCGCTTGTTTCACCGTGCCTCACAAGCCCATGGTGAAACAATGTCTTCAATTAATCCTTCAGTTTTGGTCTGTTGGAGTTCTTGAGTAGCTAGCTGATAATGGTCTGGGTTCATTTCCATGTGGCTTGCTTGGTTGGGTTGATATCTTCATTTTTCTTGAATGGGAGTTGGACAAAGTGTTTGGGGTTGTTCCAAAGAGGATTTTGGCACTTGGTAAGGAACTGTGTATGGGATAGCACATGATATTTTTATGATATTGGTCTGGATATCCTGGAAGGTATCAAGTAGGTAAAGATTTGGGGTAGATGTCTAGGGAAGAAGGTGGTTGTGGTATTTCAGTCTATCATTTGTCCATTTGCGCATTGGGAGTAGTGAATGTAGAACATCATATCCTATTAGTAAGTCTTTGCCTACCAAGAACTTTATGGTGGGTTTTGAATTTTGAGAAAAGTTTTACGGTAGTTAGTTTACTGATTTTGTCAATCACGAATTTTTCACCATTTGCGGCTCTGAAGATTTGGTAATGAGGCTTCCAATGGGTTGGGGGTGGAAGGTCTGGGTTTAAAATTGATACTGCTGGTCCAGTAATGAAAAAGGCTATATAGCTGGGATCTTACAATATCTGGACTTTGGATAATGGCATTTGGTATTTAGTGGCGATTTGGATTTCCAAGGTTGGATTTGGAAGGGGTTCTAAAGCAACCAATTCTTCAAACTTAGGTTCTGAGTTCT